TTTAGTCTTAATTTTGTTTATTTCACCTCTGGTCTTTGTTATTTCTTCTACTAATTTTGGGTTTGGTTGGTTCTTTGGTAGTTCTTGAGGTGCACTGTTATTTATTTAAAATATTTCTACTTTTCTGGTGTAAGTGTTTATTGCTATTAACTTCCCTCTTAATACTGCTTTTGTTGTATTCCATAGGTTTTGGTATGCTGTGTTTCTATTTTCATTTGTTTCAAGAAGTTTTTAAGTTTCTTTCTTAATTTCTTGACCCATTGGTTGTTTAGGAACATATTGTTTAATTCCTGTGTATTTGTACAGTTTTGAAATTTCCTTGTTATTGACTTCTAGTTTTATTTCATTGCTGTCAGAAAAGATTTTTGATATAATTTCAGTTTTTAAAAATTTGTTGAGACTTGTTTTGTGGCTTAAAATATGGTCAGTCCTGGAAAATGTTCATGTTCTGGTGAATGTATATCCTGTATCTTTGGATGAAATGCTCTGTAAATGTCTGTTAGGTCCATTTGGTCTATAGTGCAGTTTAAATTCAATGTTTCTTTGATTTTTTTGTCTAGATGATCTGCCCAGTCCTGAGAGTGGGGTGTTGATGTCCCCAACCTCACTGTATTGGAATCTACCTCTCCTTTTAGATCTAATTTCTTTATATACCTGGGTTCTCTGGTGTTAGGTGCATATATATTTTCAATTGTTATATTCATTTGCTGAATTGATCCCTGTATCATTACACAGTGACCTTTATTGGGTCTCTTTTTACAGTTTTGACTCAAAGTCAGTTTTGTCTAAGTGTAGCTACTGCTGTTTGTTTTTGGTTTCCATTTGTGCAGAATGTTTTTCCATCCCATCACTTTCAGTCTCTGTGTCTTTACAGATGGAGTGAGTTTCTTGTAGGCAACATATACTTTGGATCTTATTATTTTTCTCCATTCAGCCAGTCTGTATCTTTTAATTGGGAAATTAAATTCATTTCATTCAAGGTTATTTTTGATAGGTGATGACTTACTCCTGTCATTTTGTCAATTGTTTTCTAGTTGTTTGGTATATCCTTTGTTCTTCCTCTCTTGTTATTTATCTTTATGGTGTGGTGATGTTTTGTAGTGATAAGATTTCTTTTCTCTCTCTCGTTTGTGTATCTGTTTACTAGTGAGTTTTATACTTTTCTGTGTTTTCTTGGTGACCGTTATTGTCCTTTTGCTTCTAAGTGCGAGACTCCTTTAAGCATATCTTGTAAGGCTCATCTAGTAGTAATGAATTCCTCAGTTTTTGCTTATCTGGGAAAGACTTTATTTCATCTTCATTTCTGAAGGATAGCTTTACTGGCTATAGTATTTTTGGCTGGCAGTTTTTCTTCTTTCAGTACTTTGAATATATCACCCCATTCTCTCCTGGCCTGTAAGGTCTCAGGACAGAAAAATGTTACTTTGTCTCGTCCTGTGGACAGAGTTCCACTGGCCAAGCACTTCAGGGAGAGGAACGCAGAGTCCTTCCCAGACTCTGCCTGTGTAAACAACAGTGCTTCCTCTGTGTTCCTGTCCCTCTCGCTCTACTTCACTTTGTCAGAGCATCCTGTCTGACCTAATGCACCTTGACTTGCTTGCCTGTTGCTTTGACGACGCCATGTAGCCCAGGAATGCAGAGGTGTTATCTGTTGTGTGTCTTCCTGATCTGGGCACATGGAAGGAATTAGTTCAACAAATGAGTTCAACAAGTGATCAGTGAGCTTATATGATATGTTTCTGTTGTCTGTATCAAGTCTGGCTTAGAGAAAGCATGGATATATTTAGTGTCTTATCAGTGCGTTTAAAAAATATTCATTGGGCTTGGATTCTCGAACTTAGTGAAATTACTTGTGAAATAATGGCATGATTTTTCCATGGCTTGTTTGTAGGAAAAGACTTGTAGGTGAATTTGAGTGCCACTGTTGGAGTTTATGAGAAGTACGCTTTTTTCCTATTTCTTTTTTGTACAATTGTGTAATGACAAATACTAGTTATTATTTAGATAAAGTAGAAGATTATTAAAGAAAAGGTTGACTGTCAGGAATGGATTTATTAGATATACTTCTTCAAAATTATTATTTTTGAAACAGAGTCTTGCTCTGCTGCCCAGGGTGGAATATAGGTCATGGTCACAGTTAACTATAACCTCGAACTCCTGGGTTCAAACAATCCTCCCACCTCAGCCTCCTGAGTAGCTGGGACTACAGGCGAATGCCACCATGCCTGGTTAATTTTTTTTATTTTTTGTAGAGACAAGATTTTTGCTATGTTGCCCAGGCTGTTCTCAAACTCCTGTCCACAAGCAGTTCTCCTGCCTTGGTCTCCCAAAGTGCCAAGTGAGCCACCGCACCCAGCCTTCAAAATTATCAATAAACAAAAGTTAACTTACTATACTTACATCAGTGGAATTGTAATAATAATGAGAAATAAATTACTAGCTGACTTAATTTACTCTAAGTAAAAATGGAAAAAATAATTGGCATTTATGACTGAATTGGGATCACCTGAAGATTTTTGATGTGTCCTTGACAAAATCAAATGCAGTGTCTTACATATAGTAGTTGATAACTAAAATTGTTAACACAAAAGCCTTTTTACTCTTGGTGAAGAAAGCCCAGTATGTCTATAAAACAGATTCTATGGAAATTGTGATACAGCTGCTCTGGGGAATGTTGTAGAGAGCTGCCTCTGTAGCTGTGGCCTCAGCTCCACGGAAGCTGTGCATGCGGACCAGTCATCCTAACCTGGCCTGGGGAGTTGCTGCCTGTGCTTGGTGCCCCAGTGTCCTGTAGTGGCCCCTGAGGGACAATTTTAAATACCTGGTCTTGGTTTGACTTTGTTTTAATAGACAGTTAAAGGTAGTCTAGTAACTCTCTAAACCTTGGTAGACAGATGCCTAATCATGTATATTATTACTGCAGAGTGGTAGATACAGATGTCATGTTACCTTTTCCTGGTGCTTTTGATCTTCAAGGCTGCTTACTTCCCAGGCATGATGGTGATGAAATCTTAGCGCTCTCTGAGGTGGGGGTTTACACAGGGGAAGAGCACTGGCTTTGAGATCCGAAACTCCCGGGATCTATAGATGTGTGGTGCAACTTAATCTATGTCTGCAAAGTACTAAGTAGATTTCCTGCCTAACATTTCACCTTTGTATTGTTTGGGCTCCCTGGTTCTGTCCTTGCTCCAGTGAGGGGATTGATGAACATGACACTGTATGTGTCAAGTGTCCCAAGCAGTGTTTGACACACAGCAAGTGCTCAAATATTGGCTGCAAGTAAAAATTTCTTATTTTTATTTGGGGGATTTGTTACAGTGATGTACCAAAGGGGAGAGCCACCCATCTAACCCCGGTATTTCCTCTGTGGTCCCCTTTTGCCATTGTGACTTCTTTCTTTTACTATTTTTAGCTTTCTCCACATCTCCTGGAGGAACCGGTGATAACTAAGGAAATATATGAAGTTGCTGTCTCTCTAATTCAGATGTTTGATGACTTAGATATGAAAGAGAGTGGGTAAGAAACACTCCAGTTGGTCATATACTTTAGTGTATATGTGATTTAAAAAATTTAAAATTTGGAAACTTTAGTGTTTTGACAATATTAAGATATAGCTATAGATCCTTTTTTAGTAGTCACTGTATGTATTTTATTTTTTTCTGTTCACTTTTATTGCTGTATAGTATTCCATTACAGTATTGCACCATGATTTATTAATCCATTCTGCTGTTGATAAACATTTGGGTTGTATTCAGTTTTTATTTTGTTATTTGAAACAAGGGTGCAATGAGTTTTTGTTCTGGGTTTGAAGCTGGGCAGCACTTCTTAGCTTTGATTGCTTATTCAATGTATGTACTTTAAAAGCAAGTTAGTATGTTGGAATTTTTTTACTGGAAATTTCCACTTTAAAATAATTAAAGCCTTGCCAAGTACAGTTTTAGGACTTACAGTTTTAAAAGAAAGGATTTATAGTCTGAACATAGAATAGTTTTTCCAGACATACAGCAGTCATATCACTTACAATCTTGCGGTAAAACTTTACTTCATTAGTAGAAACTGTTGAAAACCTTTCTTTGCCTTTGTTTTCACTTACTATAAAAATATATTCCTGACTCTAAGCAGTCTCCTATTGTAATCCAGACATTCATTCATTTAGCTGGGTCTTTGAAAATTGGAACATGCTTTCCCTTAGGAACAGTTCTAGGTTATAAGTGGTGGTTAGGGTCTGTAATTTAAAAAATACCATACTATACCATATTATTGAACCTTTAGTGTTACTGTGCTAATTTTACTACAGCTCATATGTACCATTTATATTTTGGAACAGCAAACAGTGAGTATGTAGATTCTACCTCCTCACAGCAACCTGGACCAGAGAACTGGGGCAGCTTTTGTCTTCTAGACCTCAGATGCTGCCCACCCCGACACACACCACATTTCTCCTCTGTTAGTTGTTAGCTGTGAAATTTAAATATACATAAAGTCTAAAGTTACTAATTGTCTTTTCTGCTGAACAATATCTTAGAGCAAGGTAGCCGTATTCTAGTCCTGTCCACCTTCCAGCTTACATGCAGATAAAATTGTACGCTGTTTTAGGTATGTTGTTTCTAGCTCCCACAAATTTGATTTTTTTATGTTAGTGTGCTTAGATTTAACCAAATATATATAATTTTATTTATTCATCATTCTGTTTTGCATCTTAGACTTTTATTTTTGGATCATTTCATTCTTTCTAAAGTATGTTCTTCAAAAGCATCTTTATTAAGAGTCTGTTGATAAATGTTCTCATTCTTGAAATAGGGTTTTGTTAGGTATAAAATTTCTAGTTTGCTATGTACTTCTCTTTTTACTTTTCCCTTTTCTAATTTTTTAATTTAAATAACTTTGTTGACATATAATTTATATGTGGTAGAATGTACCTATTTTTATTCTTTCTATATTTTGATGACATTTTTCTATAACCTTCTGGCTTCTGTTATTTTTATTTTATTTTTTTACACACAGTATTTTACTCTGTCACCAGGCTGGAGTACAGTGATGCAATCATAGCTCACTGTAACCTTGAATTCCTGGGCTCAAGAGATCCTCCTATTTCAGCCTCCCAAGTAGCTTATTATGGGCATGTGCCACCATGCCTGGCTAATTTTTTAGAAAAAATTTTTGGAGAGATGAGGCCTCGCTGTGTTGCCCAGGCTGGTCTCCAACACCTGGCCTCAAGTGATCTTCCCATTTTGGCCTCCCAGAGTTCTAGGATTATAGGCATGAGCCATTGTGCCCAGCCTGGCTTCTGTTATTACAGTGAGAAGTCACCTTTTGTTCTAATTGTTCCTCGTAGGTAAATCTGTCTTTTTGCTCTTGCTTTCTTTGTCTTTCATGTTCAACAGTTTCACTGCTATAAGTAGATGTGAATTTCTTTTCATTTCTTTTGCTTGGGATTCAGTGGGCTTACTGAATCCTAAACATTGGCATCTTTGATGCTGTCTGACAACGTTTCATCTAATAACTTTAGCACCAGCCGATGATCTTGCCTGAGTCCATTATTACATTAGTGATGTTCTAATTTTACCCTTTGTTCTGTATTTATTCTCTGAGATTGTCCTAGAGAGAAGAAATTTTTCCTTCATTACTTTGTCTCTTTTCTCTCTTTTTTTTTTTTTAATGTCACAATGAACTCATGGATTTTTTTTTCCCCTTTTAAATAGACTTATTTTTTAGAGCAGTTTTAGGTAGCAAAAATTGAGCAGAAGATAAATACAGAGTTATATACCTTCTCTTACCGCACACGAACAGCCCCAGAGCCCTAAACATCCTGCACTAGACCGGTGCATTTGTTATAGTGGATACATCATCACCCAAAGTCCATAGTTTTATTATTTTTTTCCACTGTAGCTCTCAGATCTTAACAAAGTCTATAGTTTATAGTGGGGTTCACTCTTGGTTTTGTACATTCTGTGGATTTTGATAAATGTGTAATGACGTGTATCCATTACTGCAGTATCGTACAGAATAGTTTCACTGCCCTGAAAATCTTCTGTGTGCCACCTGTTCATCCTTCTGTTTTCCCAACCCCTGGAAACCACCAATCTTTTTACTGTTTCTGTAGTTTTGCCTTTTCCAAAATGTACTACGGTTGGAATCATATGGTATGTAACGTTTTCCAGTTGGCTTCTTCCACTTAATAATATGCATTCAGCTCTCCTCTCTGTCTTTTCATGGCTTGATAGCTCATTTATTTTTAGTGCTAAATAATATTCCATTGTCTGGGTGTACACAGTTCATTTATCCATTTACCTACTGAGTTTCCGTCTAAGTCTGTTTTAGCTGTGTGCTTTGAGTTTGGGTATATTGTGTCTTCAGTTTCATTCATCTCCAAGTATTTTCTGATTTCCCTTTTGATTTTTTCTTGGGATCATTTGTTTTTTAGGAATGTGTTTCATTTTGAACATATTTGTGAATTTCTCCCAATTTTCTCTGTTTCTGATTTCAGGTTTTATTCCATTGTGGTTGGAGAACCTATTTTTTATTATTTCTAATCCTTTGAATTTACTGAGGTTTGTTTTGTGGCGTAGCATGTTGTCTGTCCTGGAGAAAGTTACATGTGCACTTCAGAAGAATGTATATTCTGTTGTTGGGTGGAGTGTTCTGTAGATGTCTCATAGGTCTAGTTGGCTTACAGCGTTGGTCAGATCTTCTGTTTCCTTGTTGATCTTCTGCCCGCTTATTCTATATGTGAATGAAAGTGAAATATTGAAGTCCTCAGCTATAATGTTGAAATGCCTGTATCTTCATTTCTGTCAGCTTTTGTTTCATGTATTCTGTTGCTCTGTTGTTAGGTGCATATATGTTTACAATTGTTATATCTTCTTGATTGATTGACCTATTTATCGTTACAAAATGTCCCCCGCCCCCCTTTTTTTTTGAGATAGGGTCTCTGTTGCCTGGGCTAGAGTGCAGTGGTGTTGTCATAGCTCACTGCAACCACCAACTCCTAAGCTCAGGTGATCCTCCTGCCTCAGCTTCCCGAGTAGCTGAGACTATAGGTGTTTGCCACCAAGCCCCACTAATTTTTCTATTTCTTTTTTTTGTTGAGATGGAGTCTCTTGCTTAGGCTGGTCTCAAACTCCTAGCCTCAAGCAATCCTCCCGTCTTGGCCTCCCAGAGTACTAGGATTACAGGTGTGAGCCCTGTCTAAAACGTCCCTCTTTATCTCAAGTAACACTTTTAATTTTAAAGTCAGTTTTGTATGATCTTAGCCATTCTGCTTTTCTGTGGTTGCTATTTGTGTGACAAATCAAAAATTTCCATTCTTTTACTTTCAGTCTATTTATGTCTTTGAATCTACAGTGTATCTCCCATATATAGCATTTTATAAATGGAATCATATTTTTAAAATTAATCTAACAATCTCTGTCTTTTGATTAGATTGCTTAATCCATTTATGTTTGATTTTATCATTGACATAGTTGAATTTATGTTGGTCATTTTGCTTTTTGTATGTCTTATTGCCTTTTTCTTCCTCTGTTTCTCTTTGATGGTTTTCTTTTGCATTCAGTAAATATTTTGTAATATAGTATTTTACCTTCATTACCGATATTTTTACTTTTTTTTTTTTTTTTTTGAGATGGGGTTTTGCTCTGTTGCCGAGGCTAGAGTGCAGTGGCCCAGTTGTAGCTTATTGTAACCTCAAACTCCTAGGCTTAAGTGATCCTCCTGCCTTGGCCTCCCAAACTGCTGGGATTACAAGTGTGGATCACTGCATCCAGGCTGATTTTCATTATTTACAGCATTTACCGCCTCCTGTAGGACTGGCACAGTAAGTGAGCTGTAGGCATTTTTATCATTCTTTTAAGCCACCTGCTTTTGGGCACATGGTAAGACCAGAGGATTTCATGAGCCCGTTGGCTGCTAACCTGAGCTTAGATAGAGGTCGTGCTGTGCAGGAAACTGCAGAAGTGGGAAGGGCATCTGTAGGTCTGTGGATAGTGTATGACAGAAGCTTTAGGTACATGAAGGCAAATGTGAATCCATAGCAGGATATGTATCTATTTCCGTGAGGGTAAATCACTATCCCCTTCACAATGGAATCAGTCTACCGTCAGCTGGCTGCTCTGGTTCCTGGGGAATCCTGGCTTTGGCCCCTGCTGCTGGCAGGTTAGTACTCAGCAGTGGCTGTAGCCAGATCAGCCTTGGTTAAGGAACGTGCATGTTGTCGAGTCTGCACATAAGCATTCCTCCTTGCTCCAGTGGCCACTTTGTGCGTTGACCAACCCCTGGGCGATTGGAGAAGGAGCCTGACTGACACCCACAGGCAGGGCCTCCTGTCCCTCTGGTGATGGAAAGTCTGCTCCACTGTGGCTGCCTTGTGGTGGGCATTTTCTTGGCGCCCACTCTAAGAGGCTCACCGAGGTGTCTCTCCATCAGGTCTCCTAATCATTAGAATTCCAGTCTGGTCACTACCAAGTCCCTAAATAACTGGCCAAACTCTTAGCTTCTGCCTGTTGATTGGGGTGAACCCAACCTTATGGCAATGTCTCTTTCCACACAAAGTGGACCACCAGATGAGCTGCCTGACCTCTGCTCACTGGGAGGACTTCCCGTCCCCACTGTCTGTAATGACCTCCGCTGGTGGGCCGTAATGTAGCAGATGTCCACTCCCGGCCATTGCCAGCCCATGCAGGCCCATCTACAGACCAGGTCTGTGCTTTTTATCGTAGTGGCCGCTGCCTCAGGCCATAGGTGTGGCTCGGAGAGAGGTGGCTAAGCAGCAGGAGCCGTCACTGGGGAACTGGGCCACCCGTGTTACAGTTACTGGTTTATCTCTCACGCCCTCTCTCTTTTGTCATTACTGTACCCAGGCATTTCCTGGGGACAACCTGGTTGGGTGCCCAGGTTGTTTCTTGGCTTTTCCATTGGCTGCCTCCTTAGCCCCCATTACCTCCTTGGAGAGACCTTCCCAAACCTTTCTGAACGAGCACTCCATATGGTGCCCCTGCCGCCAGATCTTTTCATTGTGTGGCCGTTTGTTTCTTTCACGGTCTTACTGCTGAACCGAAGGTGCCTTGCTTATCGTCTTTGTTTCTTGTCTGTCTCCCCAGCTAGAATGTAAGCCCCAGAGAGTGGGGATCTTTTCTGTCTCACATCCAGACTGCACAGAGGAGGGCCTGGCACGTAGAGGGGCTCCTAGGTTTGTGGAGGAATGAATGTTCTGTTTCACACAAAAGTAATCGTATTGACAATTGTGGGGCCGTGAGTGGAGGATTTAAGGTTTTGGTCTGTAAAAATCCTCTCAAATTGAACTC